TCTACACTGAATCTGCACCACCACCCTCCATGTGCCCTATTTTAAAGCCTAAGTCTTGGGTTTAGGGTTAAAAATTATTTCCAGATGAGTTGTAACCACACTTCCAGCTGCTGTTTTAACCCTGCCCTGTGAACAATAGTCAAATTTTGAGCTTTGCCACTTGCCTCTTTGGGATGACCTTTCCCTCCAGGTGAATTTATCTTGACTCTACCTCTGCCTGTACTTCCTCTTCTTTTGCAACCAAACTTTCATGAAGGAGCTATTCTTCCCCTGCTCGCTTAAGAGGGCAGTTAAGGTTCTGCAGCTTTTAGGTACTAGGTGATCTCTGGATGAGCACTTTTACCTACTCATAAAGAAGACTGGGCTCAGTCTCTGAAAAGCAAAACTAAAGCCAAATGCATTCTGACTCTTATTAACAAATAAAAGAACTGGAGAGCAAAACTGATTTGTGAGCCTAAGGCTAAGTGACCTCCAGCCTGGGAGGATCCCTGGCTGGTCCTGGTCCACCTGCCTCTCTAGCACTAGTCCAGAAGCCCCGCCCACTCGTAGGTAGCCCCCAAGAAGAAGCAGGCACTGCGCATGCTCTGTATCCCGGGCCGCCCCCCTGCGCCCCGCCCCGCCCCTCCGTGACCCGCCCCCTGCCTCAAGTCTGGAGTCCGGGTCCTGCCCTCTAGCCGGGCCCGCCCACCTGGGCCCCGCCTCTCTGGCCCCGCCCACGCTGCTGGAGGGTCTGGCAGCTGCAGCCCCCACCGCCGCAGCCGCCGGTGTGTAAGAATTTTATTTAAACCTTCCGCGGTGGCGCACCCCTATAATCCCAGCACTCGGGAGGACGAGGCAGGAGAATCGCTGTGATTTCGAGGCTAGCCTGAACTACACAGCGAGACCCTACCTCAAAAAAAAAAAAAGTTTTTGTTTGACTTTAGGGGGCTTTTAGTGTGTGTGCAGTCGGGCCTGCCCTTGAACTCACGTAGCCCAGGCTGGCCTTCTGCCTCAATCTGATGAGTTCTGCGGTTACAGATGTCCACCACCACATCCGGTTTAAGAGATTTTTGTTTTTTAATCTATAGGATTTGTTCAAATGATGTCTGCTGCAAACAAAAACTTGGGGAAACGCAATATAATAATTTTAATAATAATTTAATAAGCACCTGTTATGTGCCACGTCCCTTCTGTGTCCTCCTAACCCTCAGGGAAGTGTCAGTATTATTGCTGTCTCCGTTTTAGGCACAGAAAATCCAGTGTAACTATTACTGGGACCTTCAGCAAATGACTCGTTGCCATAGTACTGTCCCCTCCTCTGTAAATTGGCATAGTAAGGGCAGGAAGCCCCATCTGGGGAGAATTCTGTTAGTGAACACGTAGCAAGCCCTGGGTAACCGCCACATCTGTTAGTAACTGATGTACATAAAGTCCCCAACTGGTGCCTTCCGACCTTGATTCAAACCCAGATCTACCCTGCGGGTAGTGGCGCAGGCCTGTAATCCCAGCACTTGGAAGGCTGAGGTTGGAGGATCCCTGTGAGTTTGAGGCCAGCCTTGGGTACATAGTTCAAGGACAGCAGGACCCTGTGTTTTTTTGTTTTTTTGTTTTTTTTTTTGAACCAGGAATTGAACTCAGGACCTCACGCTTGACAGACAGGTGCTGTGCCACTGCGCTATATCCCCAGCCCAAGGGA